TGAAGTGTCTTGGTAGGTCGCACAGTTGATTATTTCCTTCTTATTTTGACTTCTTTTTTAAGCCTTAAAAAAAATTTTTTTTTAAAGACAGGGTCTTGCTCTGTCACCCAGGCTAGAGGGCAGTGGTGTGATCTTGGCTCACTGCAACTCCCGATCCCCAGGTTCAAATGATCCTCGCACCTCAGCCTTTAAAAAAAAGGCTTAAATTTTAACTTCTTATTTTTTAACTCCTTTTATTTTGGAGTTTAAAAAAAAAATAGGCGCTTGAGTCAGGTGTGGGTGGTGTATGCATGTAGTTCCAGCTTATAGGGTGACTGAGACAGGAGGATGTTTGAGCCCAGAAGTTTGAGACTAGCCTGGGCAACTTGGCAAAACCCCGTCTGTACTAAAAATGCAAAAAAAAAAGCTGAGTGTTGTGGTGCGTACCTGTGGTCTGTGGTCCCAGCTACACAGGAGGCTGAGGTGGGAGGATCATTTGAACCTGGGGATCGGAAGTTGCAGTGAGCCGAGATAATGCCACTGTCCTCCAGCCTGGGTGACAGAGCAAGACCCTGTGTTTAGGAAAAAAAAAAAAAAGGCTTAAATTCAGGTTCCATCAGAAGTGGTAGAGTTGAAAATGGTAGTGGTGTCACATCAGACTATATACTGAATTATTTGTTTCTAAAACTTTCCAGGCTTAAGACTTTACATTTTAAAATTATGGATTTGTTTATTGTGGATAATACCTATTGAACATTTGCCATATTGAAATTAAAACTTTTTTTTTTTTTTTGAGACAGAGTCTCACTCGGTTACCCAGGCTGGAGCACAGTGGCGCAATCGTGGCTCACTGCAACCTCCGCCTCCTGGGTTCAAGCGATTCTCCTCCCTCAGCCTTCGGAGTAGCTGGAACTACAGGTGCTCACTACCACGCCTGGCTAATTTTTTTTTGGTATTTTTAGTAGAGATGGGGTTTCATCATATTAGTCAGGCTGGTTTTGAACTCCTGACCTCATGATCTGCCTGCTTCAGCCTCCCAAAGTGGGGCGATTACAGGCATGAGCATGATCTCAGCTCACTGCAACCTCTGCCTCCCAGTTTCAAATGATTCTTATGCCTTAGCATTTTTCCAGGTAGCTGGGACTACAGGCATGTGCCACCACGGCCGGCTAATTTTTGTATTTTTTTTT